TACTGGTTTGCATAGTTTAAATTTTCATTTAAAGCTATTTTAACACACAAAACAAGTCATCTTAAGTGCCTACAAGGATTTTTTTTTTCCTCCAACCAAGATAAATTGTTTCCTGCAGTCTCATCCTCTTGGTGGAACAGAAATTGATTTATCTGCCAAATCTAAGTGCTTTGTCTAGCCACCTTCCCATTCCCCCCTTGTTCCTCAGCCAGGAATATGAAACAATAGACCAGGGCTTAAAAATAGCAAATCCCTGTTAATAGAGTCAAGGAGAAACCTTGAGTGGGTATTTTTTTCAGCTGATGCAGGGTTGGAATGGCTGGTGGGGGTTAGAGGAGGTGCCTTAATGGTAGTAATTTAGAATACTCCCCTTGACAAAGGCTTTTGTGAGCATGTTCTGTGTGTGGAAGAAGCACTGTCTTGGAGCCTGCCCTGTGGAGGTGGAGGACAGATTGGAACTCACTTTTCTTTCCCCTCCTGAATGTGAAGCTTCGTGGGCTGTGAGTCACCTGGGGCAGCAGTGGGACTAGGTGTGGAGGCAGAAATGCAGCTCTGTGCATTGTCTGGTTTGCTCCCCTCCCTCGCATCCTCTCCTGCACGCTGTGGAGTGTAAAGGACACTGAGAAAACATGGAGGAAATTAGGATAGTTTCCCCTGGCTTCTTGGAAGAATTTCTGCTCAGGAAAAGAGAGTATTAGGATCAGAGTATAGGCAGAAGCTCCCCAGCAGAGTGGGGGTGTGTTAAAGAAAGGTCACATTGAACCAGCCACACCATGTGGGTGGCCTGGTTTTTTTTTTTTTTTTTTTTTTGTTGTTGTTGTTTTGTTTTGGTTTTGGTTTTGGTTTTTTTGCTTTGACTTTGGTGAGGGCTGAACGGCGCAGGAGAGGTCTATTTTTTTTCAGAAGTGTCAGTGGAGAGGACTCTGGGGAAGAAAACAAAACCAGGCCCAGTGACAATAGAAGAATAATTTTACATTTCTTATATACATCAGTAACCCTGGTGGTAGGGTATAGTTTTGAGCCTAAAAATTTAACTTCACGTATTTATTTCAGGTTTTCTCATTTTTGTTGTACTCTTATATAAGCATATAATGACCCCCAAATTGTATTGATTAAATAATCCTGTCAAAAAGATTTGCATTTGGTAGTGTTTACTCAGCCTATAGCTGGTTTTCAACATCCTTGTTCTGTAACTCATGCTCCCCGCCCCCCAAGATCAGGTGAAGTAGGGTTACTTCCTCTCCCCTACAGAAAGGGCTGTCCCATTGCATTCTAAGACTAAATATTAAATCCAAAAGGTTCAAATCTCTGTTGTCAAGCAGCTAGAATACCAATTTTCTGCTCCTTTGTCCCATCTTGCTCCTAGTCCCTGGCCCCAGGAAGAAATGATGCTATTGGGTAATAGCTTTGTGGTATTTTATTTTAAAAATAGATGATGGTGCTTCAGGGCCCTCATGCATGGCTTGGAGCTCCTAGCGTTGCCTGCACAAAAGTCCAGCCACCTCAGCCCAGAATCTACATAGAGCACTCCACACACAAGCTCTGCCTGTGAAAATACGGAAAGAACAGAAACAGTGGCTATGTGCTGAAGTCTGGGCTCTCATTGAAGAAGATTTTTCCACATTTATCCCATCTGTTATTGGAAGCCGTTAGCCAGATGGTTAGCCTGCTTGGTAATAGCCGAGAGCCCTCCAGCTCTCCATCTATCCAGTACAGGTGCTCTGTTCTAGAGAAGCATTAACCTAGTTCACCAGCAAGAATATGTTGAGCCTGGTGGTGCCAAGTCATAGGTTCAACTGGGTCTTTGGAGTTCTTATTTAGAACGAGGTTCAGAATTGCTTCTAGAGAGCTCAGGACTTAGGAGCAAGTAGAAGGCAGAAATGTGAAGACGGTTTCCCCTGCTGGGGACATAAGCCGGCATTCCTCTGGAGGAAGGGGGCCCAGTAGTCTAAAGTAAGAGTGCCCTATGGGTTAAAGGTGGGTGTCAGCCAAGCTTCGGTGCCCTGCTAGCGTCCCTGGCATTATCCTCATCCTCTTTGTCTGTTCCAGGGAAGCTTTATGCCGTTGGGGGTTATGATGGGGCCTCCCGCCAGTGTCTGAGCACCGTGGAGCAGTACAACCCAGCGACCAACGAGTGGACATATGTGGCTGACATGAGCACCCGCCGCAGTGGTGCAGGTAGGGGAGTCCCAGGGTGCAGACTGGCTGCTTGGCGCACAGCCAGGTCTGGAGCCCAGTGACATAACCTTACATTTTAGTTTACTTTTCTTCTTTTTTTCCTTCTACTGTATATAATCCCATTAGCACCTTTGCAGCTACAGTGCTTGTAAGTGCACCTTTCCCAGAGATCCTTTTGCTAGAGAGTGGAAGAAATAATGTTCTTTATCATCACCCTGTTTGTTTGGAGGGTCTGTATCTCCTCAAAGTGAAGGCTTACTAGGGACCAGGCACTGTCGTAATAGGCCCTTTCTGTGCCTCAGTATTATATTTAGTCAGCGTAACCCTGAACGGCAGATACAATATTGGTTATATTACAATATTGATAATATTGATTCCACTTACCAGATTTTGGAAGTAAGTCTACTAAGGGTTGAATAATTTGTCCAAGGTCATAAAACTAGTAATTGCCAAAGTTGGAATTCTCTCTCCAGAGTTGTCTTTTAACCCCTAGATTAATCACGAGAGGCTCATTCCTGTGAGGTAGTAGGACAAGCACCCAGACTTTAGTGGACACAGCCCAGCCTGCCTGTCTGAAATCCCTCTCTTGAGGTTGGAAGTCTTCACATCTGGAAATAAACCTGTGTCCCTCCCTCATCCCCCCTTTGCCTCACATCTACCCCCTTCCAACATGGGAAGAGAATGACTTCCAAGTGGTTTTCCACTAGTGCTTCTGCGGTCCTTTGGGCTGTTTCAGGAGCTGTGGCAGCAGTCCCTCTTTCCCTTCTTGGTCTCTCCATGTTCCTAGAGGCCCCAAGAAAAGGACTAGGCGGTAGGCAGAGGCCATGGATGCAGTTCCTCTGGTGTGTGGCTACTGATTCCCAGCCACAACTCAAAGTAACCATCTGTTCCCCCCTCCCCCGCCTCTCTCTCCCCTCTTCCCCCACCCCCTCTGGGATGTTCCTGTTTGGAGTGCTATTTTCGGGAGCTTGCCTCTGCTGATCCTGACAGATCAGCCCTTCCTGAGTGTGGAGCAGATGCCTGGCAGTTAGGAAACTTGGGCTTCAGTGCTGGGTCTGTTCTAACTTGCTCTGTGACCTTGGATAAGACCCCCTCCATTTCTGATCTTCAGTTTCTCAGATATGAAATGAGTGGGTTGGAGCAGATGTTCCTTAAGGACCAGTTCAACTCACAGATCCCATGATTCTTCCCTTCCATAAAACTCCTGTAGTAACTTAGGATTTTTAGTGTCCATACATTATACTTCCCAGAAGTCCTCTCCTGTTCTCCAGGCATGAGAGCAGGTGCTCAAGGCTCACACATGTATGAACAGCGGGTTATGCACACTGTCCTGCTCGGCTGTTCTGAGGAAGCTCCCCAGGGGAAAGTGCTGAGGCAGATCTCCTGAAACTAGGACTTCTCACCTGCCTCTGAAAGTTCACGCTCATCCATGTGGATGAAGTAACCTTTGTCTGTAAGCTGCTTAGAAGGTTACTGTTGAGTGGATGTTACTAAGCCCTGATACTGCCTTTTAAACCTAGGTAAAAGACCCAGGATTATGTCATCCCAATACCTTTGTCCCTAGGAGACACAGTGACCTTGACTTAGGGAATGAACTCTTTGCTCAGATTATTGTCGCCCTGGCTGCTTCGCCCCTGGCAAGTCTCACCCCCTACTTGGGAACCCACATACTTGTCTTAGGGGTGTTTTTTGGTGGCTGAGGGCCCAGAGACCAAAGGCCCTGTCTTCCAGATGCCTGAGACCCTTGCAGGTACCCAGGCTGGGCTCTAGATACGGGAAACCTCTGCATCTGAGTTCATGGATCAGGCCGCCCACGAGTGCCTGGAAGACTGCTTCCTTCCTCAGCAGGGTATGGGCAACACCAAAGGATGTTTAGGGGAAAGGAGGCCATCTCAGGGTTCCAGGGGTAGCAGTTCTTGCCCACCTTGGAGGAAGGGAAGGTGGAGCTTAGGAACCCATTTGACTTGCTAGGCCTGCATCCATTAGCTAGCCATCGCCAGTACAACAGCTCCATCTGCTGTTAGTTTAGGGCAATTGCTAGGGACCACTAGTTTGCTAACGTAATTGCTGAAGGGAATTTTATACACTTTGTCATTCAAATGTCTGCTGAGGACTTAAACTACCTGGCACAGGGAACAAGGCAAGGATAAGACAGTTCTCTGTCCATATGAAGTTTATGTTTTATAAATTTAGTTCTTTAATTTGAAACCTGGCTACACATCCTAATTACCCATGGAACTTTTCTAGGCTCTTGACCAGTGTGTCTGGGAGTGAAGCCCTAGAACCTACCTTCTCAGAAATCCCCCAGCTGTTGGAGATGCAGCCTGTCCTCCAAGGGGAGTAGTCCACAGGCATTTCTGACCCATTCCATACCCCTTCCTTCATAAATGGGAAAACTGAGGCCCAGAAAGGAAAGGATCACTCAATGGAGGAATTAGAGGCAGGTCTAGAACCCAGGTGTCCTAGTCACCAGGCCAGTTGCTCTTTCTAGGTGCCACCACCCTCCTTTATTGATTTTTGTCTCCTTGAATGTATTAAAGGATTTTAAAAGGTTGCACTGAAGCTTGTAAATGATGCCTCAGGCTGGCCAGCTCAGTGCCTTGTCTAATGCCCTCTGGCATCCAGGAGAGAAGTGGGCAGAAAAACAGCTTCTGCTTAAGACTATGAGGGATGTCTCTTTGGTAATGATCTTAGCACACTTACTGCATGTCTAGTTTCAATTTTTAACCCTTTGACTCGATTATTACAATGCTGAGTAATGCAACAGTTTTGGAAGGCAAGGCATTATAGGTAGGCAAAAAAGAAAGAAATGTGATTTTACTCCCCAGAAATAACTACTTTGAATGTTTGGGTGAATTTCAGTCTTTTTTTTATGTTTTTAAAACAGGAATGGGGTCATATTTGCCGTATATTTCAACATTTCCATGTTGGCAATCTCTTGAGGAGGCGGGAAGGGTATCATTGTATCTGTTTTACAGATGAGAACACTGAAGTCCAGGGAGATAAAACAGCACTCCCAAAGTCACCTGCTGGTGGTGACCATCTGGGGCTGGACATCAGGCCTCATGGTGTCTGGTTCCTATAGCCAGCCTAAGGCCGGGACACTGCTCTGCCTTTCAGGGGTTGGGGTGCTCAGTGGACAGCTGTATGCCACAGGCGGCCATGATGGGCCCTTGGTGAGGAAGAGTGTTGAAGTTTACGATCCTGGAACAAACACCTGGAAGCAGGTGGCAGACATGAACATGTGCCGACGCAATGCAGGTAATGGGACGTGGGAGTCCTAGGCCTCTTCGCTCTGCACGTAACAGCTCTCCATGAGAGGAAGAGGGGAGAGATTCTCAGCATCTCAAGCTGAGCTTGAACATTGAATAGGGAGGGAGTATCCATCTGCTGGGCAGGCTCTATCTGAGGGGCGGGGAGAGCTCAGGACACAAAATACTTGCCACAGGTCTCTGCATTTAAATGCACAAGGGTTGTCATCCCCCCCACCCCGTCCCCCCATGAACGGTGATTATTTTACTGCATGCAGTTGACAGAAGCAATGTCAACTGTCTCCTTCCTTACAGGGAAAGGTGGGCCCTTGACTGTTCTCCAGGAGAACCACTTCCTTTATTCCCTTCTTTGTACTTCCTGTGTCTCTTGTCCTTTCTTTCCCTTCCACTGTTCCTTCCCTAGGGGGTTTAGATGTGTATCTCCAGGAGCCTGAGAGTCCTGTCAAGCTATTTCCTTTTGGAGTTTTGTCCTTTTGGTCATGCCTCTGTGCTTTGGGAAAGCATCAGCTGAGCCCACCCTCCCAGGCTGGAAAGACAAACAGGTTTCTTTCAGGCAGAATTATTACCTTCATTCTCACATTACCTGTTTGCTAAACCCATTTGTGGCTGACTTGTTGGAAGTATAAACGGAGGGGAAGTTTACTGATTTACTCAGTGCCTGAGTCTGCTGTGATTTAACTTGGCATTTGATCTTAAGCCACATGAGCAGGGAATTACAGACCCTAAGGCAGGATCTGAAGTCTGAGAAAAAGTTTAAATGTAAACAGGAGTATATGCAAATATTCACATATAGATATTTCTGTTAATAACAAATATGGAGTCACACTATAACACTGTTTTATAACTGCTTTTAAAAGCTCCCTTCACCATCTTTCATCAACATCCTATGAGACACTGAATTTGTTTACATAATTTTCTTGTCTTAGAGTTTAAGTAGTAGTTTGGTTATTGTAAATGGTTCTTGTAGTTAAATCAATGCACATATTTAAAATTATTTCTTATAATAAAAGGTGAAAAGTGGAATTTTGAGTCAGAGGGAGCTCCTGTGCATTCAGGAAGGTGGTCCATTTTATTCTCTCACTAATATTTGAGAGTATCCTCACCAATGCTGATACCAACACTACTTTTTAGGGCATCATCTTAGTTATACATTCTTAATCTTTAGTCCCCACTTCTTGAGACCTTGCCCTGCAACTGGTTTACTCTGAGATTAGGAGTAATCTAATCCCATTAAGTAATCCCATTAAGGATTGGAGGGGAGCCTGGACCCTGGGAATGGTGTGTGAGTTTAGAACCCTGTCTTGTGAAGGGGTTACAGACACTGCCATTAGCACCACACAGGGGAAAGCTTACAAGCAGAGAATTAGTAGCATGTACAAAATCACTCAACTGTTTTGTTCTCCAGCTTGCGGGGCTGGGAGGTCTTTGTGCTGGGTGCTCAGTATTCATTGAGAGAACTCACAATGCTCTATCAGAAGGGATGGAGGGAATATCTGAGGGACTGTGTGGTAGTGAGAGAAATAACTGTTAGGTTAGGGGATCCTCAGAGCCTAGTAGTGGCTGTTGGCAGCATGTGCGGCCTCTGAGCAAACCCAGACCTGCAGAGCTGGATCTCTGTGGTCCCACCATGTGTGAGAAAATGAACCTCCAAGGCAGCCAGCATGCATCTGCTGCAGATCCAGGTCTCTGGTGCCCTAATGTCTCCAGTGACTTCTGTTTGACTCCAGGGGTCTGTGCAGTGAATGGGCTCCTGTATGTGGTTGGAGGAGACGATGGATCCTGCAACCTGGCTTCGGTGGAGTACTACAATCCTGTCACGGACAAGTGGACACTGCTACCAACCAACATGAGTACTGGCCGGAGCTATGCAGGTCTGTGTTCCAGCTCCACCCACCCTGGGCTGGGGAGGGGAGGAGGAGATGTGAGCTTGCTTAACTTGGGACTGAGTGCCTCCTCCTGGGGTGGCAGGTAATTGTCACATTGTTATCACTCCTTCACTCTGTGCCCAGGAAAGATGCTGATAATTAGCCTGTCCCCTGTGAACCTGAATGTAGCCTTAGCATTCTTTTTGTAGTGTTTCAGGGAGCTTCTTCCAAATGATCTGCACTGCCACAAAACACTTTAGAGTTTCATTGCCATTCCTGGCTTATTTTGTACCAGGCTCCCAGGTGGCACAAGTACAGTTCTTGCTCTCTGGAAGTTGAGTTGGAAAGATAAGCCCTATCTACACAGAACAGGGGAAATACAAGATGAAGTACACATGAGTTATGAGTGGAATGCCCTGTACATCTTTATTACCTGATAGGGTAATAAATTGAGAATTGGCAGGTTCGGGACCTCCACCTGGAGGAGATTGGCTCCATCAATCCTTAACAGTGGGTCACAGTGACACAAAGAACTGCCCTTTGCTGGAAGCCCCTCTCTGTGCCATGGGAGGGTGTGTTAGGTACAGTGTACACATTTACCTTCTTCTTTTCCATCCACCCTAAGGCTGAATGGGACTGTATCCTTCCATTTTACAGATAATAAAACCGAGCTTTGAGAGTTTAACTTGGCAAAGGCCACAAAACTAAAACTAACATTGGCAAAGTCAGAATTGAGTCTTGGGTTTGACTTCTAAGCTATACCCCTTATACTACCCTGGCTCAGGATTGGGGTAAGAGGTCAGTGGGAATAATGGTAGGCTGATGTGGAGTCTACCTATTTCTTGTGGAGTGTGTGTGGGGTTTGCTAAGGTACAGGGGCTGGGGAGACATCAGGGTTGATATTGTAAAAGTCCAGGTTCTTTGGGGAGACAAGCAAATGTATAGCCACGATGTAGCCCAGCTCCTGAATCTGGTCTCCAGAAACTGGAATAGTTAGGCCAGACACTTACTTATTGAGCACACACAATGTACCAGATATTCATCCTGAATATTTATAAACATTTTCTCATTCAGTCCTCATCTGGACTCCATTGGTATCAGGCAGGCTCCAAAGGGTTTTATCACATTCTTTCAGCACAAGGCTCCTATTGCAATGAATTTCTTTCACTTTTTTCCTCTTGTAGGGTTTTTTCTCACCTTATGAGAAAAAATTATGTTTTTTTGTTGTTGTTTTGTTTTAGCTAAATAGGAAAGATTTTAGAAGCATTTTGTTCCTAGAGCGATTCTGTTCCAATGGCTAATTATGAAAATCAGCACCAGGCTGAGCAGGCTGTTTTCTAGGATAAGACATTGAGACACTGGTGGGATCTCCCCTTGGCTCTACATGGGCCTTAATGAGAGAGGAGGGCTTCACTATGGCTGGTGAGAATTTCCTACATGTACTGAATATTTCATGTGCCTGTTTTCACTCTCTACCTACACCAGATGTAGGTGGGAAGCAGACAAACAAGCATGTAATTTTGTGTTCAATCCCATTCCCCAGTGAGTCTTAAAGTCTGGGGACATTCTCAGAAAAGTAAAGATTCAGAGAGTTATTTATTGGAATGTTAATTATTTAGCAAAAAAACAAGAACTACTTAATGTCTTCCATAAAGAAAATACTTAATCTTTGGGCTATTTTTTCAGAAGTGTATTTTTAATGTCATGAGAAAATATTTGTGACAGGTGTTCAGTTAAAGAGGGCTGGGCAGTGTCAACCCTATTCAGTCCTGTAGCTCTGCCTTGGGGCAGTGGTGGGCTTGAACAGGTACTGCTTCTGGGAATGGATAATGGAGTCAGATCTGAACTTGAATCCTGGCTCTGCCGCTAGCCCTGGGTCTCTGGACCAGGTATTCAGTCTGACTTAACCTCTGTTGTATCACTTGTAAAATGGGAACAAAACTACACTGAGCCTCTGAGGGCTGTTGTGAGAATGAAATGGGATAATATGTGTACAGTGCTTTGCACAGCGCCTGCCTGGCACCGAACACCTCTCAGTAAACAAATGTGAAGCTAAGAAATAATCACTACGCAAATTAGAAGCTAGGAAATAATCCAAAAAGATAGTGGCAGTTGTTTTTGTGTGAAAGGCTGAAAGATTTTTTTCTTTGTGTTCTACATTTTCCATAATGAGAATATATTACTTTTATAATCAAAAGAGAATGCTTATATAAAAAAAGCAATACAGGAGCCTGCTTTAAAAAAATGTTACCTGCTGGGTGTGGTGGGCATGCCTGTAATCCCAGCAGCTTGGGAGGCTGAGGTAGGAGGATTATAAATTCAAAGCCAGCCTCAGCAGCTTAGTGAGGCTGTAAAGCAACTCAGCAAGACCCTGTCTCTAAATAAAATATAAAAAGGGCTGAGGATGTGCTCAGTGTTTAAGTGTCTCTAGGTTCAATCCTTGGTACAAAAAAAAATCAAATCAAAAAACAAAAACTACCTTATGAAAGAGTTGTCCAGGGTGGAGGTGAGATGTTGTCAAGGTCATATAGCATGCCTTTTTCCAGACTCAGGATTCTCTGCTTCCACGCATCTTTATTGTCACCATTATCCAGGAAAGGATATTTGGCAGAATCTCTTTTATGGGGTATCCTGGGCTTTCTTTTAGCAGTGTTCTCTTCAACCAGAACATTTTATAGTTGTGAGAATATGTTAAAACAAGGCTCCCATAACCATCTTATCTGTAGACATTGTTTAAGTTAGGATTTTGTTTAGCAGCAGGTGCCAGAAAAACTGACAGGCTGTTGCTTGTATAAGAAAGGAAGTGTATTTGTCTCGGGTAGGAAGAAATCCATAGTTTCACTGGTGGCCCAGACTGTCACTGAAGAACCAGGTATCTCCCTCCATTTTCCTTTGCCAGCTTTCTCATAGCTTGACCTTGCATAAGCATCCCAGGAAGGATGAGGACAAGTCCAGGCTGCAACACTGGCTGACTTGCATTCACAATGTCATTGGCCACAGCTGGACCACCTGGCACTTCCAGCTGCAGAGTAGTCTGGGAATCTAAACATGTAACTGGCTGGTGTCTGTGGCAGAGGACTTGGTCTACGGTGTTTTTCATGTAGCGTCAGTCTACTACGGAGAGATTGTAGGTCACACGTGGATTCACCAAGTCGTACTCTTTCACCTTTTACCAAGTTAGGTGCTGAAAGAATTTAAAGAATTTAGCACTGGAAGAGCCTCTTGGTAAGAAGACATTAAATAGTGTGGGAACTGGGTGTAAGGAGGTGACTGGACTTGGCTTAAGGCCACAGTGCAGGATGACAGGTGGCAGAGCTAGGGTTACATTCAATATTTTTTTTGCTTCCATGAAGTCAGTCTTCTGTTCTTCCTAATTCATTTCAGTGTCTTCTAAAATCAGACAAAAATCACTTCTCTGTGGTGACACAGATACAGAGCTGTGCAGGGCCTCTGTATTCTCAATGAGGGTGCTGCCTGCAGATTAGCTGAGATGTCTCAGATCTGGATGATCTTTGTGATGGTGTAGGATGAGTCCACCCACCTGCAGTGTTTGAGGGACTGTGCCCGTGGGTTTAAATGTCTTGCCAGGACTTGGCTGTTAGAGTGGGAAATAGCTGAGTGCTGGGAGCCCAGGTTCACAAACCCTTTAATATTTGGATAAAAAGTGTACCCATTTCCCTCAGCTGTGACTTAGGCTGTCTTCCCTGGGACTCTGAATAACTTTGGAGAAGCTAAGGTGATCACTTTCTTCCCCTTTCATGTTAGGTGTTGCTGTGATCCACAAGTCCTTGTGACCCAAACTCCCACTGCTAGGAGACGGAGGAAGGAGCAAGTGCTGCCTGTGACTGGGAGCCTGGGGACCGTAACGACTGGATTCAACTCACTGGGAGGGTCCGAGATGGTGTGAGCAGCACCCTCTCCCACCAGTGCAGCCTCTTGCAGCATGGACTTGGGTGACCCACCTCCCTCTCCCCCAAGGTGCTTTGGCCTCCACCCTGAGCAGCGGAGTTCCTGACAGCCTCAGCAGCACCTTTGGGCTTTTTTTCTTGTTTCTACAGAGACAACAGAGAACCGTGTGTGTGTGTGTGTGTGTGTGTGTGTGTGTGTGTGTGTGT